GAATGAAACAGTTGCTATTCTAGTAAAAAAAATATAGCAAAGAAATGGTCAGAAGCAAAGTGTGTCTCTAGTGAGATCATTGTACTAGTTCTAGAAATGCCAGCAATGGATTTAGACACCGATGTCTGCTCTAGGGTTTTTACATTGTAATTAAAGTGAAAAAAAGTTGTAGGAGGTGATGTTATTATGGAGTGCTGCTTATTAAATAGCAAATAATATGAGCAAATAATATTTTAGATTTTATTTTTATTTTTTGTGCAGTCATGGAAAATAGATTGGACTAGTTAGTCACAGGCTAAATGGTTTCAAATGGAAAGGTAAAAAAAAGGAAATTGACAGATAATTTTAATTTTTACATAGATTTGGCAAACTTTGACATTATGAAGTATGCACAGTGTAGAAAACAGAATTAACAATTTGGGATAGAAAATTTACTACATAAAGACTTGACTCTTAAGGAGTTTTGCAATTCTTATGAGCAAAAATGTATCCTAATTCAAAAAGAGAGAAAAAATGCAAATCCTTTTGTCATAGTTACAAGTAGTTAAATCAACATCACCAGAAGGACTATTGAATTATACAACTGATCTGCAAAATATAAGAAAAAATAAACTTAGGTGTGGAAATCCATTCCCAGTTCATGTTTTTCTTGTTAGTATAACATGCAAGCTCTCAAAACAGAGGGCTTTTTTGTTTGCTTTTATTTTTGTTTCTTCTTTTTCAGATACTCAAAATATAGAATTCAATTTACTCAGTAGCAGCTACTCGGTCTTGCAACCCAAGAAAACAAGCATTGAGCAAATAATTCAATAATTTGCCATCATACCTTTTAAACTGAATTAAACTAGTGGTTTTCTAAGAACTCTGATATGATGGTTCAGAAATTAGCAATTAATAAATGTATATATTCATAAGCCAGTACATATAATGCAATTATTGTCCTCAGATTTGTGCCTGCAAAAATATTGTAATTTATTTAAAATAAAAATGTATGGGTGTTAAGAGCACTCATCTGCTATAATTAAGTAAAGGAAACATGGCAATTATTTATATGGATTAAAGCCCCCTTAAAGTATAAAATTATGGTGGATTTTTTTTATCAAATGTGTTCACTATTGTTTTTATCCAACAGATTTTTACTGTTACTACATCAAGTAACGTTATTATGACATAAATTCTGCTAGTTTGCCTTATTTAGTCATTGATAATTTATCAAATCTGTAATTTTGTTTTCTGTTTGTGACTAGGATTCATGTGACAACCCTCTAAAAGCTCTCATTATGCAGTAGGAAAAAATGAGAGTATGCAAAAAAAGGGATGGTTAAGGTAGATGAGATTAATTAACCTGTACAGGGTTCTATTAATTCCATTAGTCCAGACGGTATTGAAGAGCTGTATATCAAGAGTACCTATCTAGTCTGAAATTTTCTTTCAAATTTATCTAAATTCCAATGCTGTCAATATATGACATTATATTCTATTCTATTATTCCATAAAGCTTTTTAAATTGACTGAAAAGTGAGATATGCCTTTTCAGTAAAATTTTATGCACAAATCCAGTTTCGAATACTCAAATTTTGAGATCAATCAATGCCTTTACTTTTTTAAGCAACTTGTATTTTCTGTTCGCTGAAATCCAAGCATTTTATTTTTTATTCCCTTAATTGTTTAACTTTTCCTTAATTTTCCCTAACTATAGTTATACAGGTAATTCTTGTTTTTTAAAGGAAGCCTTTTATTTTTCTTTAAAAAAAATCAATTTGCAGTTTTTAGTCCCTAATATTTAAACCTATAAAGATGCTACTAAGGATTTGGGGTGAACTTTTTAATGAAAAATCTCCTTTGACTGTACTTAAATTTTAAACTTACATTAATTATCAAATTCCATACACTAAAATTTCAAATTTAAGTAGATATATCCTGGCCTGGAAGAAACAACATGACAGCCAATTTCCAAGGAAAATTTTTGAAGTTGTATACTTACACATACAGCACTGTTCTGGTATCACCCACTTTCCCAGCATCTCCAACAGTAAGAGTATCATAGCCTCTTTCCAGTTCAAACTCTTCAAAAGCAAGCTTTATGACCTATTAAAATTAAATAACTCAGTTACTTCAAAACATTTCCATGTTATCTAACTGTTCCATTCTTGAATTATTTGCATACTATAAATCAAATAATGAAGCAATAGTTATTTCAGTTAGTCTTTTATTCTTGAAAGATACCTAGAAAGAGCAAAGTGCAGAAACTTCTGTTTTCTGATACTTAGGAGCAAGTCACTGCCATAATGCTTTGGAAGAATCACATACTAAAATGCAAAGATGCCAGTCACCATTAACTAAATTATAATTATTCATTATTGAACAAAGAATTTTTTTTTTCACAACTGTACTAGCTATATGAAAATTGTATAGCAAGTATTGGAAGTATATTAAAACATTCTTATCTATTAAATTATATAGTAACAAGGCAGAACATATGAACTACCAATTCACAAAAAAATGGAGGAGGCTGGTTCACAAAAATTCAAAACCACAAATTTCCTTGCATAAATTACTAACATTAAACTGTGATTCCATATAGTGTCTACTCATAAATTGCCAAGAAAATTACACATGTATCTCTCAGAATTCTTTGAAAAGCTATTTACAAAAATGTAATTTTTAAAGATAAAGTATAAAAATTGACTTAGTTTTGTATAAAATAAAAATTCTAAGGCAAGCAATTTTAAAATTCAGTATTGGAGAGTAGTTGCAGCTGATATATACGTACACATATATCAGGACATTTTACCTTTCTGTAATTTGATACAAAGGTTTCTGCAAACTTGGCACGAAAATATATAGAGTCAGTTATTTTCCACAAAATTATACTAACTTTTGGAGATATTCCTGGGTAAGCTCTCAAACAACATCAGCAATTGCATGTAACACAGTTAATTTTTCTTCTGTTTTATGCATAGAAACAACATTTGGGTCCGATTTGAGCTTTCAGAATAAGCCTTGTTATACTGCTTTTTTAGAAGAAACACATGAAAAAACTATGCTTTCCTTCCACTTAAGTTTATTTCTATGTGATCATCAAGACAGAATTCATCTTGATTAAATTTTACCCCTGTAAAAAAAGCACCATCCAAGCTAAGCTAGTTGTCTAAACTTTCCCAGTATTAAAAAAGAAAGCTGGACCATCTAATTTCTGTGTTGAAACTGGAAAAGCCTAGTACAATGAACTGTGGAGAGGAACTTACACCACACACCAAGAGCAGGTGATCTTTACATTGCACTATGTTGCTTTTGTTTGTAACCCAAAGAAAAGCCTACAGGCAGACAAAATCCACAGCCTTTCCATCATCCATTGGGGGGTCACCTAAAAGGAGATAAGTTTGGATCTGCCTTTCACTGGGTCTCATGCCTTGGTTATTCATTGTTTCAATAATCATAAGATTTTCAGGCAATATGCTGTAGATAAAACAATATATATTTCCATCTTCTCCTGATGTACCTTCTAGTATTCCTAGATTATATCAGTGGTTAACATGAAAAATTTCATTATAAAATCAAGACTAATAAAGCAAAAATGAAGCAAAAATATGTAGAAGCACAAAAATATGTAAAAGCACCAAAAGATACTTGTTCCTGGAAAGAAAAATAATTGTAAGGGTTTTAATGCAATTATTATTTCATATGGAGGAGGAAACCTGATAGAATAATCCATGAAAATATACGGTAATGTATTATTTAAAAAATATATTTGGTTCAACTCCAAATAATACATTTGGTTTGACTCACAAATTCATTTACACAACAATTTAAAAGCAAACATGAATGTTCACCTCCCTAATACTAAAATAAGTTAGGGAAAAAAAAGTAATTGAATATAAACTATAAATGAAAGTTTTAAGCTTCTGGCCAAGCATATAGGAAATGTGACAAGAAACACTCCTTTATGGGAGAAACATTGTGAATATATATTACAAACTATTAAACAAAATCTTGTTATCTTCATTTACATGATAATTGTTATTCTATGTTAACATAAAACTTTTGGAAAGACCTTCAAATTGTTGAGAGTTAAAAGAACTCACTTAAATTCCTTCAATCTGACTCATAAAAACTAAATTTTAACACACAAACAGTAAGCACCCAGTGTAATCATTAATCTTTTCACAGTCAGTGGAACAGAAAATCACACTTTTCTGTCATAACATTTTCTGAGATGGAAAAAATCCACAAGGACCACAAAGTCCTGTTCATGGCCCTGCACAAGACAGCCCAAGAGTCACACCATGTGCCTGAGGTTTGTTGCTGTGACCACTGCCATGGGGAGCTGTTCCAGTGCCCAAGCACCCCTGGGTGAAGAACCTTTTCCTGATATCCAACCTAAACCTCCCTTGGCACAGCTTCAGGCCATTCCCTCAGGTCCTGTCACTGTCACCACAGAGCAGAGATCAGGGTCTGTCCCTCCTTTTCTCCCCACAAGAAGCTGTAACTGCACTGAGGTCTCCCCTCAGTCTCCTCCAGGCTGAACAGACCCCTCCTCATACAGCTTCACCTCAAGGTCCATAACCATCTTTGTTGCTGTCTTTTGCACATTCTCTAATAATTTAATGCCCTTTTTATATTGTAGTGCCCAGAACTGCCCCAGCACTCGAGGTGAGGCTACCCCAGCTCAGAGGAGAGCAGGACAATCCCTCCCTTGCCTGGCTGGTGATGCTGTGCCTGATGCCCCCAGGACAGGGTTGGCCCTCCTAGATGCCAACTGCTCACTCATTTTTAGCTTGCCACGGACCAGGGCCCCCAAGTCCATTTCCAAAGCATTCATTCCCTTACACATTGCTCTATCCCAGGTATAGAATCCAGCACTTGGCCAACCTATGGCAAGATGAACTTCCTATGGTTGGGGATTGTTCAATACTCTTATTTATTGAGGTCCTTTTGAAGGGCCTCCCTGCCTTCAAGAAAGTCAACAGCTCCTTCCAATTTTGTATCATCTGCAAACTTTCAGTATTCCTTCTAGTCCTGCATCCCAGTCATTGTGGGAGAGAACTGGGCTAAGGTTGGAGCCCTGTGGGACCCCACTAGTGACAGGTGTCCAGTCTGCTGTCACCCCAGTCACCATCACCCTTTGTGCCTGACACATGACCCAGTTGCTCACCCATCACATGATGTGTTTATCCAGCTGAGTGCTGGACATTTTGTCCAGAAGGATCCTGTGAGACACAGTATTAAAAAATGTACTGAAATCCAAAAAGATCACATCAGCTGGGTCCCCTTGCTCAACTAGGTGGGTTACTCTATTGTAAAAGGAAATTAAGTATGTCAAGCAGGGCCTTCCCATCATGAAGAACTGCTTGCTGTGACCATTGTGTTGTCCTGCAGGTGTTTGTCAATAATTCCCAGAATAATCTTCTCCAAAATTTTACCAAGCACTTAAGTGAAACTGATGCAAGTCATATAACCTGTCTTAAGGTGGAGCAAACTGCCATTTAGAATTACTGTTTCTAATGAATATATGGGAGTTTTGATGACTATGGGAGACTAATATTTGCCCATATATATTTGGTTAAAATTTGTCTGTAGATAAAGCTTTGAATCATCAGAAGAATTTTTAAGATTTGTTAGATGGCAGATTGCACAACAGTTTCGTACAGATATAGATATGAGTACAGCATACGAAAAACTTATGAGGATTGAAAAATATCAAATATACCACAGTATAGTGGTCAAACAATATTGATTTCTATACCAGGAGAGGAATAAAGCAGCTCTGAGGTGCTTATCCAGATTCAATTTTGTTTTGCAATTAAAATCTCCAGTAATACTAATTTGACCATCACCATTTACATATGCTTAATAGGAACAGATTAAATGAAGAAAAGAATTAATTTTCATTTAGAAAAACTGGAAACATGAAAATAGCTTCCAAACATATTATATTTATTTCTGGATGATCAGTTGCATTCTTCTTACAGAAGAATGATCCTATTTGCTTTCTGAAAGGTATGAGACAAAATTTCCTTATAAGCAATTCAGAATGATTACTTCTTGTTAGATAAATAGACTGCGAAAACAGTAAAGAAGAAAAAGCTTAAAAATCGGAGATACCTACGAAGGTACTTTATATGAAAGTTCTGCAAGTGAATTTGTCATAATTAGTTCTTCATTTGAAACATTTTCCTTTATCCTAGATACTTCCATAATCTGTATTTCTTCTGGCATAATTGCTGTTGCAAGCAATGGATAAAGGCAGCACCAGAGTTTTAGGAAATGCCTGACATTCTGCCAGGAGGAAGCAGTAGGGCACATGGCAATGCTACATCTCCAAAACATCTGGGTGTACACGTTCTTTTCATTACTAAGAAGGCCTATTTTACTGTCATGTATATATATTATAAATGTATGCATTAAATAGAGTAAATAGAAAGTAAAAAGTGAGAGCAGTGTTTTAAGATACAAGAGAAAATGAAATCTCCTCCTAAGATATCTGTTATATTTACAAGCAGATCAAGCCAACTACTTCAAAACAGCATAAATGTACTAGTAGAAATGTATCTTATCCTCCCTCAAAAAATGAAACCAAATAAAACAAAAAATCCCACAAAAACCACACTCAAACCAACAAAACAAGAGAAAAACAAAACAAAACAAAACAAATAAAAAAAAAACAACCCACAACAAAAAAAGAGGACCTGCTTGAAGGAACATGGCTTAGAGATGAGAAAATACAGTGAGTCAGTTTGTTGCCTGAGTAAAACTACAGTACCATACATTAAGATAATAAAACAGTCCTGAGCATCTATGATTAGAAATTTTAAATTAATAAAAAGAAAATGTGTTAGTTATAAAGTCTTTTCATGAAAGCTGTTTTGCAATTGTCATAGGTTATTCCATTTCATTGACAAATATAACAGTATTTAATGTAACAGTATTTTCCTTAAAATGTAACAGTATTTTCCTACTTTACATCTTCTCCCTGCTGCTATATAAACATTGAAAGTAACAAAAATATTCAATTTTTTTTCTTCTGTTATTTCTTTTATGGTCACCTTATGCTTAAAGGGATTTGAAAGCATAAGAAAGCAATTCTATAGACACAAACATAGAAGTACTGCTATGGTCTTTTGGATTTCTAAACATTTTTTTTTTTAAAATTTTTAGAAGAATGGAGCAGATTTTAAAGCAGGACTTTAAACCAAGGTTTGGAGCACCTATTTCACTTAAAGAAAAACATAATATAGAAACAATGTCAAAAAGATGTCGTCAGTATTAGAGAACACATAGAAGAATCCAGGAATCCTTAAAACTCTCAAAACTTTGCTCTTTCCTGAGCCCACCCCTCCTACAGTGATATCCCTTGAAGTTTTAAGAGGCAATGTAATTATGGCCAAAATCCAGAGGAAAAGGAAGCACAAAAAACTGACTGCAAATTGTAATAAAACTAGGCAAATCTAATGCACAAATTTTATGGATGATTAATTATGAAAGATGGCATAGCGTGTTTTTTCATATTCCTTTGTAAATCAAGTTATTTATTTCCCCTCAATGCCCATAAAAAGGTAAACCATTTATCCCAGTCATATTATTCATAATTTGGCATAGGTAATAAGACGCAAAATTAATAACTTGTAACTACCAGGTCAAAATAGCCTCCAACCAGACAAAATAAAATTGATGGCAATACAAGGGCCTGTCCTGTAAAATTTTAATACCGCCAGTTTTTGTTGAATGACTACAAACTTATTAAAAACACTTAGATTATTCTGTTCATTATTTTAAGGAAATGTTGAAGGCTTTTGGTACTACCATTATCCAACAATTGCAGTTACTTAAAAAGCAATTATAAAAAGAAATTTGCTTATTTTTCAATATTGACATTTATGTTCCTCATTCTCAGGAATTTATTTTCTTTTTAGCCTTCACTAATGACTTGAAAATTAACTTAATAATCACACTTGGTAGAAATTAAACAAAGATAAGAAGGAAATAACAGTAATAATATATCATATAATAGTAATAATGTAAAACAAAAAATGCTGATGTTGTTTTGAAAAAAGGAGGAAAAAATTAAAATCACAAAAACAAAATAATAATACAAAAATCCAATGGTTTGTTTTATAATGACTATTATCAGGTGACTCCCAAGCCTGGGAAATTTCTCAGGTAAATAAACACAGATTGTCTTTTTCCCCACAGCTTTTCTTTCTTTGGATTGCCATTGATAACATAGATAATTTTGAATGTACTTGCCAGATCCAACATAGCTCTTCCTCAGCAAGTTAATTAAGGCCAAATAATCTGAGATCTTTGGAAGAAAACAATAAGAACAATCTTAAGAAAAATCAGCAAGTAACTTTAACTACGTTTATGTAGTAAAAGTTACAAAGTGATTTGATACTAATCTTAGACTCCTCCAATAGGGAGTAACTTTCTGATATATAGATAAAAAGGATGGACATACAGTGACTGGAAACAACCTATAAAAATAGAGGATTATTTGCAAAAATGACAATAATAAAATTCTTGATAATATGAAGGCCATTTTTAGTGGTAGCTGTTATTATGTAAAATAGATCTATAGCTAATCATCTACTTAAGGAATTTAAATACAGCCACAGTAAGGGAATGAGCACATTTTTAAGCATAGTTTTGTTTCTTCTGTAGAGGGAGACATTAAAAAAAATCCCATTATGATGATTTCAGAGTTAACAGAGCTGCCACAATCTGTTACTCAGTCAGAGAAGCAGCTTGTTGCCAAGTTAGATTTTAATCTTCAGCTACAGTGCCTAAACATCATGCTGCATTTCATTTTACCATCTTAACCATTGAAATATTTTCCTTCTTCTCTTTTCAGTTTGTTTGATATGTATATAAATATGTTGCCATTTCTAAGTACACAGAATATTATGCAGTATTAAAATTTAAGTTTTAGTCCAATGAATGTTTCACATTTATGTGAGCCATATTTTTAATGAATTATCAATCAATTTGATTTAGGTTTGAAAGAAAATTAAAATAATGAAAAGCAGAATCACAAGAGGAGATCATTATTCATATGTTCACACTAAAAGTTTGGAATTTATCACTTCTGGACAATTTTAGACAACTCTCTGATATAGTAGGATGATCTATTTCTCATTTTCTGCCAAAGGAAAATGCCAAATATATGGCTTTCATTTTTTGCTCCTGCTGCTGCTCCAACTGTCAGTAGGAAACAAATATGGAAAGACAAGTTTTAAAGAAACACTATGCCATTCAATTTTTTGAACTGAACAATGGAAAAGAAGTCAAAAAAAGCATGCATCTAATTACTTGTCATTCACGAAAATAATTCTAAATGTGCTAATTGTATCATTGAAAATATTTTCCATAACCTTTTAAAGAAATACTTTCAGATTTGTTGTTCAAAACCAGGCCTGAAAATACTGTTCTTTAAATTTGAATATTAAAAGCGCCAGCTTACATTTGTTAAAAACAAATTACACACAAACTAAGAACACATTAATTACCAGATAAAAACTCTGACTTTAATAAAAATAAAGGCTGAGAATATCACTTATTAAATGAGCACTTGTTTTATCCCCTCAGAAATTTAAGCAGGAGAAACACTTTGTTTACTCCATTTGACTGCTGTCTTTCTTCCTAAAGTCTTAAAAGACTAGGTTAGTTTTATTTATTAATTCAAACTGCATATGAAGCTTGATAGAGCACATGAAATAACGGTCTACACGGAGAAGTGTTTAAATATCAAGGGTGCATATCATCTATACACAAACTATTCTCTAGACAGAGCCCTATGTGGGAATCTAAAGTGTTAAATCTCAGCCTTATTATTGTGTAGTCTTTAAAGCAATTAATTTCAAGTCCTTGAATATTACTTATTTAACAGCATAATTCCTCAAGAGTTTTTTTACATTTTAATTCTTCTTAAATTTCATGTGATACATGGACCAAATATGGCAAATATTCAAATTTCAAAAAACTAAAAAAAAACACTAATTAACTTTTTGTGTCCCAACTCAAATATCATTGTATAATATTCACTGAGGGAATTCAAATACCTTTGTAAAGACATGTGAGTCAGTGGAATGTCCAGGAGATAAAATTAACAAAACAACAAAGTAGATTTGCATTCATGACCTTAAACAAAAAATTGACTACGGGAAACCCATACAAACAAAGTAGTTCCAAGTCCGATATTATTTTTGGTTGAACGTGTCAGGTAAATCTTTTATTTCATGCATTCTAACATTCTGAAACTTATTTTAAAGCTAGTTTCCTGCACTAGTAACCAGTAGCAAAAAGGTCCATAAACACCTGTTGTCTAGGAGGAGTACTTAAGCTTGTTGGTTTCTTGTTATTATGGTGTAATAGTTCCAAGTACACAAACTATTTCATTTAGAAGGGTGACAGATCTTACCATCACACTGTATGGTACAAAAAGGCGATTGAAGTGAATACTGGAAAGCCTCCAGAGGTACAAGGAGATGCCAGAATCTTTATAGAAGGAAATGCCTCAGAAAAATACAATGTGACAGTTAAATTAATTCGCTAGAAATGTATACAACTACTATTTAATGCTATTTAAAATAGAAACTGGAAAGGTCTGAGCCATACTCAGCCAAGTTAGAAACTCTGGTAAAGCAGATATGTTCCTGTGCTAATGGAAGGTTTTATTTATGGAAATGAATTTTAAGAGGAAAACTAAGCAGTGTGTCAGCATATAGTGTTTCTTTGGACTAGATTCAGATGTCCACACTCAGATATTTCCTGTCATATAGGATGTCTTTGCATCTTGTCTAACTGCCTCTCTAGAGGGATATGGATTTTCCTGTGTCATACACGTCAGCCTTGCTTGTAGAATCTTGAATACCTGAGCATCTCATACAGTAACAGATACTTGAGGATGGACAAGCTCATTGTATCTTTGGTCTACTGAAGTGTTTGATGTAACGAGAAAACACATGCTTCATATAGAAGCATTAAATTAAAATGCCACAACCTATAAACTGCTTATATTCACATTTATACATACAAAATATTTATAGACATGATGAGAATGGGGGAACTGTGAATGTATATATATCCCTGTAATAAAATCTCAGTAATGTTACATGGACATTGAATTGTCAGGACACCAAGATTTTACATAAATTTGGACGGTTTTTAGATAATGTTGTACACTACAAACTTTAAATACATTGAGGTTAACTTCATGCTGAATAAAAACATGAAAATAAATTTTCCCTGTGTTTGCATTATGAATAAGAAGCAGTTACGAATATGAAATTTTGGCATTCGTATTAACATATTAACTTAAATTGACTTTGAAAGTTGCATTTTCTTCTAAGCTTTTCTTCCTACTCTATTTTTAAAATATACAATTACATGCCTTATTAGCTCAAGTGTACTTTTGAAATAAAAAACAATTTTTTTTTCTGAATAGTTATCTACATTATTATTATTATTATTATTATTATTATTATTATTATTATTATTATTATTATTATTATTATTATTACTGTTTTAATAAACTAAAATTTAATTCAACCTGCAGTAGAGGAAGTAATAAGAATCTCAGCATAAGACAACAAGCTTTGTATAATTTTTATTTATAACTTTTATACAATTACATTTTTACATGAAAAAATAAAAATGAATGAAGCCATAAACTGCAGCCTGTGCGATGTACCCACATTCAAGCAGTTTATGAATGACTTCTATCCCAAAAGAGGGACACTGCAACAAAACAAGGCACAAGTGTGAAGAAAGAAGTGGCAGAGGGGAGCTGTTAATGAATTGACTGAGCCCATATTCCCCAGACCCTTTCACCATTCAGTCAGGAATGATGCACAAGAGTTTGAGAAAAAGTTTTTATTGTTGTTTCTCACCATCCTGCTCTGTTTTTAATTGTCTCTAAATTAATCTTCCCAAAGTTGAATCTATTTTGCCTAGTTGGTGAGCAATCTCCCTGTCCTTTTCCTTGACCTTTTTCATCTTCTTTTCCCCCCGTCCTGATGAGGAAGAGGAGAAAGAAAGCAGCTTGGTGGGCACTTGGCAGCCAGACAAGATCAACCCATCACAACTACATAGGACAATTGAAACATTAAATTGCTTCTAATAAAATTACTTATGAAGATATTTGCATTCTTATGAAGATATTTGCAATATTAACCTTCTCAGTGATCTTACTGAGAAAACAAAACTCTTTCTTCCAAAAACCATAAAAATAATGATAATAATGACAGCACATACATTTTGAACTTTGTTCTGCAATGCTTCTCATGGTTTATATTTCCAAAAATAAAAAGCACAACACAAAACTTAATTACATATTTAATCTTTTTGCTAATAAGCCTACCTGCCTTGGCTTTAAAATCTAATCTCCCACACCTGAATGTACTTTCTCAAATCCATACTTATGTTGAAAATGTCCCTAACATCTCAGTGATAATGAATGTATTTATTTTCATCCTGTGCCATGAGGTTTGTATGTATTAAGAGGAAATGGTAAATATGATTGACTTTAATGATTCCAAGCCTGATTCTTTTATAGTCTGCCTTGATTTTATGTCTTTGCATTTATAAGCACTTGAGTAGAGCTGTTATTGACCTGCATTGCTCTTGACCTGATATAAAACATACCAGAATCAGTGAAGGTGATCTCTGGTCATTAGAATCTAAACCATATAGCAATCTGCTCGAATATGCAAGTCATAGTGCCCCATAAAAACATATTTGGGCAGAAGATATTATTTGGCTCTAATTCAAATAATAAATGGGTAAACAGAACAGTTTCTGTCAGTTTGCTAAGACATCATCTGTAATGAATATTCAATGAGGAGATTATGTAAAAATGCCATTAAAATATAAAGAGAATAGTAGTTAAAGATACATGCAATTTTCCCTCTGCAGTATTATATGACTTACTTTTAAATCAGTGTAAAACATATAAATCATTTACTCCAGAGTAGCAAACTGTGCTATCAATAAAACAGTAGGGAAAAAAATGAAAAATATCTATAAAGATGGAGTTTGGACCAAGTTTAAATACTAGTTTGCTTCCAAAGATGTGCATATTTTTTAATAGAAAATTAAATACAATGTAAACCGTACTTCAGACAAGCTGGGCCAGTGACCAAATTAAGTAGCTTTTAAGATACAACAACATACATTGACTTGAATGTCAATGATATATGCAACTGAAAAAGCCTTAGGTGGAGTTATATATATTTCCTTTTTCCTTTTTTAGCTAATTAAAAACCCAGTTTTCTGATGTTCCTGCAATTTATTCTTTTGTTTCTATAACAAAGCATAAGTACTGCATGCATTTTTATATTTAGCATAAATTCTGACACTGGGATTATATAATTTTATCTCAAAGAGATGAAGAATAAGACTTTGCAATGCAGTTTTGGAGGCTAGGAGGAAGTATTTTGATAAATCATATTCAGGTTTATTCTTCAAAAAAGTTTATCTATCTTGAGCAACAATAACAGCATTATATCAAAGAGCTTGAGAAAACATAATAAAACTGTGTCCTAGCACTTTAGAACAAAAGCAAATCACAAAATATTCCTGAAGGCTAGAACCACTTTTGAATATTTGACCAAGAAATCGTATTGTCTTTAAAACATGAAATTAAATGAAAAATGTAACTTGAGCAAGATAAAATAAAATTTAAAGTGGAATAAGTTTCGACATCTTCTATGTTTAGCAATATATTGGTGACCTTTTTTGCCTTAAGACAAGAACTTACAGCAATACATGTAATATGGAGTTCATTATCAGGCATAGGCTAGGGTAGAATAGGACAGTGTAGAGTAGATAAAGGTAGAATAATAAAAGTAGGATAGGATAGGATAGGATAGGATAGGATAGGATAGGATAGGATAGGATAGGATAGGATAGGATAGGGTAGAGTAGAATAGGATAGGATAAGATAGAATAGAATAGAAATAGAATAGAAATAATAGAATAGAATAGAATAGAATAGAATAGAATAGAATAGAATAGAATAGAATAGAATAGAATAGAATAGAATAGAATAGAATAGAATAGGAACAGAAAGCCTGACCACTTCAGGGCTGACCTAAATGTAACTTTTATTATTAAGGGCATTTTTCAAACCCTCTTAAACACTGACAGGCTTGGGGAATACTCCAGGACCACTCTAAGAATCCTATTCCACTGTTTGACCACCCTCTTGGAAAATAAATGCTTCCTGATGTCCAGTCTAAACCTCCCCTGAAACAACTTTGAACCATTCCCACAAGTCTTATCGTGAATCCCAGGGAGAAGAGCTCACATCTCCCTCTCCACTTCTCCTCCTGAGGGAAGGACACTCTTAAATAACTAAAGGAATAATAAAAGATCTATGATGTGAACTGTCCAATTCTGCCATGAATCAAAATTAAGAAAAGAACCTTACTTAAGACTCCAGGCCTATGCACCTTTAAATAAAAATATGAAAGGAGAGAAGTTCTATAATAATTTCAGGAAGAAGACACTTGTTGAATATTACATCAGGTTTCACAAATTGTTTCACAGTGAAACAATGAGTACAATTTTGAAAATTAGAACTAAAAAATTAATTTGGATTTTATACAACTCTGTTTTCTATTCTCATTAAATATGTATTTTAAGTACAAATTAAACAAAATTGCTTCAATATGTGAAGCAAAGGGCTCTCTCCACCACATAAACCTTCTTTCTACAAAAATAGTTGAAATTTTCTATGAATCATAGTGATAAAGAGCAAACCAAAAGATATTTAGATCCTCTGATGCTCCATTCACATGCTCTCAATTACAAATAATCTTTCGTCTTTTTATTTCCTGGTCACAAAATGTTTAATATTCATAGTACAAAGAGTTTTATTATTATTTCAGTTACATGAAATCACAGAACTTTGCAAAACCAAATTAAGCACAAAATTATGAACTCAGATGTACCCCTACATACTTAAAAATCCAAAAAAACTAGAAAGAAAATTCATCTGAATGAGATTGCAGATCACATAGAATCAAATTTTTCATTCAAAATTTAATGAGATGATAAAAAGAAAATTTGATTACATTATTGGGTTTCACACCCACCTTCTTCCAATTATTTCAACATCTCACAGTTTTTTTATGACTGATATTTAACATGGATTGCAGCAAGAGGAATGACAATTTCCTGCTCTGCTCACGATGCATCACCTATTGATGCAAAATACAGATCATCTACATCTTGGAAGAGATTGACACTCAGATGAGCTGATATAGAAACATGCATGACAGGCACTTAAGGCACAGATGATTACAGGTCTGTTAAAAAATGTAACTGTAGATGAAAAGATGTAACTCAAACCCATTGTGGACGTGTAATTGGATTTTGAACATTAAAGCCTTGAAAAACACACGCCACCTCATTCCCACTGAGATCTCCATTCCTTTGGGCAAACTGTCTCAGTGCTCACTAGAGACATGGACACTGAAAGTGTAATATTACATGCAACAGATTTTCAGATACACTTAGCAGACAGAAATTTTGGACTTCAGAAGATAACTAATTAGTATCAGCAAACACAATAGTTTTTCCTACGTGTACAAATAAAAATCCCACATAGTCAATATAAACTAACACATAGTCAAGTAATGCATAGAGACAGAAATATGTTTAATAGCTGCACTAATTTTGGGAGGTTGTTCATTTTTTACAATGCAGTGATCATTCCAAAATAGTTTACATAGACTCCTTTCTGAGAAATAAATATTTGCTGTCATCCTTTAGCTGTGACATACAAAACCTTACACCCATTTAATATATGCTGCGAGACAAATATCATTGAACCACTCATTAGTTTATACTGTGAATGTTTTCTTATATGCATAGTATGTTTAAATACACCTTAATATTACTAAGTCTCAATACACACAGCTACCACCAGAATGCCCAGTCAGTCTCTGAGAGTAACTCTCCATTACAAAAGACTTCGCTGCTCTACCCTGGTTCCCCACTATCTTGTAATCAGATAGTAATTCTTGTAATTCAGTATTGCCATTCTAGTAAAAACCCACGACATCTGCACTGAACTTTCAAGACCTAAGGACTGGTGTTTGTTAGGTTTTCCTTGTCTGAACTTTTCTTGTGAAGAGTTGAAGCCTTGTTTTACTTCATTTCTATGACAGCAATTTATTGACCAGGTCTCTATGGCTAGTTTAATTTTGTTTGTCTTTGAAAAGTACAACCATAATTGTATTCAGATAGTTATAGCAACTTGTTATAACATCAGAATGAGATATTTATTTATTTTCAGGAGCTATACTGTGCAGATATAAACCACTCACCACAGGTCAAGAAATATAGTGGACAAAATTGGCTCTAAAGTAACGGAGAAAAGGAAAAAAAACAGTCCCTAATACAAATAAAATACACCATACATTGTAAATATTGAGACTTCTGTATGAATTATTCTTTTTCTCTAATAATTAATGTATGCTAATATTTTTTGTTGAATTTATCTGTTAAGATCTCTATTATAGCAACAATTAATTCTTGGCTTTACTTAAACATACTGTGTGCCTCCTCTTTGTTCATGAACAAGATTTTGATTTCTTTTTGCCGAGTTACCATTTTGTGATCAGGAGTCCTAAAATAACAGTAGATGCCATTGTAGAAAATTAAATTGTGTTGTATTTCTCTAGTATATATTGCTTTACCTTTACTTTCATTTCCATAGTAGTGTGATTAATAGCGATGACCACTTGTATTTCTGGAACAGAACAAGTTTACAATCTTCTGTAAGTGTCAATACTTGTAACATCATGGTACCATCTTTATAGCAATACCTCCCTCTTGTCTACAACACAGTCACGGAGTTCATTCTTTCATCTGATGTGAGAAGCTGTAAACTGATCTTTGTTTCCAAAATATGTCGTTTAGCCACAAAACTGTTTTTCCTGTCTTAACTAAGGTACAACTAGGTATACCTTTTTAAAAGCTTAATCCAAATGAGATATCGATATGTTCTTGTTCTTTATATAGCTTAACTGTACATGAAGCAATAGAATTGCATAAGTGTAACTATCACAACATGATCTATTGCATTTTGAGAATAAGTAGACTTTTAATCAGAAACATTGTGGCTAGCTATGACATACCTGAAACCATTTGGAAACAGAAATTAACTTTCAGTACCTGATTTTTCCATTTATAAACTTACATGCAATATCTGAAAATATTAATTTCCCTACTATCAATATGAGTTGCTTAAATTTTTATTTGCTTGCACACACAGAGACGTATAAAATCATTCCATAGTCATGCTCCTTGATCTGTCAGTAAAACCTATTAT